CACACACACACACACACACACACACACACACACACACACACACACACGTCGTGCTGCTGATGTTGTGCCAGTACAGTAAAATAATAAAAGATTCAATACCGCCTGAAAGCACAGATGGAGTTGTAACGTTCCTTTTCTGGAAGTCTCATTCAGGGTTTGTTTTCCGATAGACAATGTTACATGACTCACAGTTGGAGCTCTTCCACGGCTTGAATCAGGATTAAACTCTCCTGGATAAAGCATCAAAATACCGCTTAAGAAAGATTCATTTTTGTTAAAGACTGAATACGGTACAAGCTTGTGTAACTAAAAATGTCAAGGTATATGTCAACGACCACTCCAAGGAGGCACTTCAGCAAGACGTGCAGCGGGTTTAACATTGTGTGAGGTGCACCACTATAGGAAGCTGAACATGACAAGTGTTGAAAAAAACAACCGTAATCTTCATCTTACATCTATACACCATAATACAAACCTATAGGTTTGTATGCAAGTGGGATCATTAACCACCGATATGTGATTTGCACAACTCCACAGGCATCTGGTTAACAAAACATCCTGTGGAGGAAATACACTGGTATGCATGTACTTGGGGGGGGGGGGAGGAGACAGACTAGCATGCAAAAGCATGTTGAAGAAATCAGATATCTGAGAGATAACATGGAATGAAGGCAAGAACCGATGGGCCAGGTTTTTTTTAGTGCCACTGTAAACCTCAACTATCGGCACACTTTTCCAGTGACATCATCCTCAAAACTCACAACGTAACTTAAATTTACCGCAGAGGAGAAATCAAAAACACAGTTTCTAACCTGCAACAGTTCACAGAAAGGCCACGTACCAACAAAAGCATGCAAGAATGGGTTCAAATTGAGCACAGCGCTGATATGATAATAATAATAAACATGACCTATATTGGGATAGCCATATAGCCAGGCTCTAAACAGACAGAGGCGATCTAATGAAGACATATATATTAGCATATGTAGCTACGCGTGTCTGTTTATTGTTTTTCTTTTACCATTTGCAAATGTTTGAGAGATTTATTTATAAGAGCTGAATCTATTTTTTTTTAGTGGACAAAAAATGAAATGCCATTTTGCCAACTATTTTGATAATTGATTTATGGTTAAGCGCCACGTTTAAACGTCTCAAATGTGAGGATATGCAGCTTTTCTTTGTCATATACAATAGTCAATATGAATATGGGACTGTTGGTCAGTAATAACAAGCAATTAGAAAGGAATTGGAATTTAGAAAATTGCACAGAAATGACTTGCTAGTTTCTGATATTCTATAGAGCTGGGGTATTCAAGTAAAGTTTAACGAGGTGCAGTTAGAGAAAATGTCCTCATGCAAAGGTCCGCAACGTCACAATAATGTCTAACTGGCTTTATGATTTAGTCCCGTATATGTTGATGTAGCCAACGTCTGTATGTAGTAAACAACTGACTGTCAAATAAAATAGTGAAAGTTAAATTGAATAATATCTCAACAATATTTTTGTCAGATTTCAAATTTAACTGGATAAATTATAATCTAATAATAAACACAGGTCCTCTCATTTCAAGAAAATATTAGGCCTGGATTACAGAATATATTATATAAACAGAAAGCTTTTGAAAAATGTGCAGCTTAAAATAAAGTACTTAATTTTAGAAAAATGAATTTCACTGAATTGCCCTGCAGCTTTAAATTCAGTTCATTCCAGTTTGAAGTGATGTCAATCAAAAAAGCCACAATATTATATTGTTCTCATCTTCTAATAAGTGAAATTTGTGTGCAGGGACTTTATCTGTGGCTATTAAACCACTTGTTTCAGCTCTGTTAACATCATTGTTGGAAAGTGAATTAACGAGTTAGGATTCTGATCATATTGGGCTCTTAGAACGTTTATTATCTGTGACTTCATTACGTATTTGAATGGGTACGTTTGCTCAAAAGAGTTGTGCTTTGTCTCATAACTGCTGGTTGCAGCCCTTGTATGAATTATTTGGTCAGAAGACATGGCCCAGGAGTCACTGTTTACATTATGCATTTCCTTCAATCTTTGTTTCCCCTGCTGTCCCGAACACGTACTGCTGTATGCATCAAACAGTTACAACCAGTTACTGACAACGTGCCACTACTACGGAGTTATATCTTTCATCCGTCTAGGCTAAACAAAATATGAACGTCAAACCATTATCTTTTTTTTTTGTATTTCACCGAGCACGAGGATTTCATGAGAGTGAGTCTTTCCTATCCGTAACATAAATCCCTGTCATCTTGGCATCTGTCAACATCCACCCACATATGAAACCAGACCCGGTGGCTACATTACAAAACGACTAAGCCTCTCTAAAAGCTACAGAAAACCCTGAGGTCAAAGCAGGTTCATCTCTGCTGCTGCATTACAGACAACCAACAATGTACAGAGCAGTGCACACTCAGCAAAAAAACAACAAGCCAATTTTTGTTTTTTTTTCCTCAGAATTGCATGTGTGTGTGCGATTTCTGCTTATTTTAGCTCATCAGACCTCATCTCAAGACAACATATGTGTCACACACACACACACACACACACACACACACACACACACACACACAC